AAAAAAAAAAAGCAGATTATAAAGGAGCAAAGAAAACTTTGATATGAGATTTGTCCTTGTAAACAATGCAAGCAACAAGAAAATGAATCAATGTTTTTAAAGTAGTGAAAGTTAAAAATAATGCCAATCTATGATTCTATACCCAGAAATGATATCCTTTTTAAAAAAGAAGACAAAATTAATACTTTTTCAGACACAGAAAAGCTGAAATAATTTATAACCAGCAGATATGTATGACAAAAAAATTAATGAATATCATTCAAGCAAAAGGAAAGTGACAGCATTGGAAAATATGGATCAATACTAAGGAATGATAAAGACCAGAAAGGGTAACAGTCTTATTATTTGAATCCCTTTAAAAGATAATAACACTGTATTATGGGATTTATAACCTATGTATGAGTACGATGTATGGCAACAGAAGCATAAAAGTTAGGCAGGAGAGGAGAAATGGAGTATAAACAAGCATTCAACAAGTATAGTGCTGAAGGGTTCTTTTAAACCATGTATAAATTGGCATAATATCAACTGAATGTAGACTATGATAACTTAAACATACATGCTATAAACCTTAAAGCAATGAGTATAATAACAAGAGTTATACCTAAGATTCAGCAAAGAAGATAAAATGGAATCGTAAAAATTCCTTAATTAATCCAAACATGCATTTAAAATAAAAGGAGAATTGGATCAAATAACAATGGAGAAAATAGAAAACTCATAGCAAGATTATCCACTTAAACCTAATGTGAATAATGACATTAAATGTAAATGATCTATACAATCCAAATGAAAGGCAGAGATGGTGAGACTGAAAGCAAGACTCAACTCTATGCTGTTTATAAGAACTGCACATTAAATATAAAAACTCAAAGAGGTTAAAGTATGAAAAAAGCATACCATGATAACACTGATCAAAAGAAAGCTGGATTGGCTCTACCAATAACAGAAAAGTAGACTGAAGAGCAAAGGATGTCACAAGGTATAAAGAAGGCCATTTAATAACAATGAAGGGAACAAGAAAATAATAGTCCTAAACATGTATTTACCTAATAATAGAACTTCAAAATACATGAACTTCAAATTGCATGAAGAAAAACCTTATAGAAATGCAATAAGGGGGGGAAAAACAAATCCCCAATTGTAGTAAAAAATTTCAGTACCCATATCTCAACAATTAATAAAACAAGTAGACTTTAAAATTAGCAAAAATACAAAAGACTTAAACAATATTGTCAACAACTTGACCTAATGATATTTGTAGAACACACAACTCCACAAATGCTGATCACACATTTTTTTTCAAGTACACACTGAACATTTTACCAAGATTGACCATATTCTGAATTATAAAATGAGTCTCACTAAATTTAAAAGTGTTCAAGTAATACAAATGATTTTCCCTGTGTATAATAGAATTAATTTAGAAATTAATAACAGAATATCTGAGAATTAATGAAGTATTTGGAAACTAAATAACATGCTTCTAAGGAATCAAGGAAGAAATCTAAAAGAAAAATTAAAAAGTATTTTAAACTGAGTAAAAATGAAATTAGAAGATATCAAATCCCGTGGTATGTCTCTAAAGTAGTATAGGGAATGTCTACAGCACTACACACATACAATATTATACAAGAAAAATGGCCTCAAATCAGTGACCTCAGTCTTAAGAAACCTCACCTTAAGAAGTAAAGAAAAGAAGAGCAAATTAAACCCCAAGTAAGCAGAGTAATAAAATAATAAAGATCATCATATATAAAGCATATATCAATAAAATAGAACGTGAAAAAATAATAGACAATGTACGAAACAAAAATTTGCTTCTTTAAGAATATGAATCAAATTGATAAACCTCTGCACAAAGTACTTAGGAGAAAAAAGAAGGTACAAATGATCAATATCAGGTATGACAGAGTTGACATTAGAATAGATTATAAAAATATAAGATGATAAGAGAATATTATGAACAAACTTATGCCAATAAATTCAACAATTTAGATGAAATAGACAAATTCATTATATGACACAAACTGCCCAGGCTACCTCAAGAAGAATTATATGACTTGAATAGCCCTAAATCTATGTTTAGAAATTGGATTTGTAGTTAAAAACCTTCCAGTAAGGAAAATGCAAGGTTCCAACAGCTATACTGGTGAATTCTACCAAACAAGTAAGAAAGGAATAATATGAATAATATCAGTTCTACACAAACTCCTATAGAAATTTAAAGAGGAAGGAATATTTCCCAACTTATTCTGTGGTGGAAGAATTCATTGCACTCATACCAAAATTTGACAAAGAAGTTACAGAAAAGAGAATAACAGAAAACTATCCCTCGTGAACCTCTGTGTAAAACTTTTAAACAGAATTTTAGCAAATCCAATGAAAGAGTATATTGAAAAGATGATAGGGCCGGGCATGGTGGCTCACGCCTGTAGTCCCGGCACTTTGGGAGGCTGAGGCGGGCAGATCACGAGGTCAGGAGTTCGAGACCACCCTGGCCAATATGGTGAAATCCTGTCTCTACTAAAGATTCAAAAAATTAGCCGTAAGTGGTGGCGGGCGCCTGTAGTCCCAGCTACTCGGGAGGCTGAGGCAGGAGAACCGCTTGAGTCCGGGAGGCAGAGGCGGCAGTTAAGCCAAGATCATGCTGTTGCACTCCAGCCTGGGCGACAGGGCGAGGCTCTTCTAAAAAAAGAAAAAAGATAAATCGATCATGATCAAGTGAGATTTATCCCTGTAATACAAGGTGGGTTTAACATTCAAAAATCAATCACTATGATTCACCACACTAACAAACTACCATGGAACCATCACCACAAGCAAGATTTAAAACAATTTTATTACCCATACAATTATCTGGTGTTCATTTGTAGTCAGCCGTACCCCAGGCCTTTGCAACCACTGATCTTTTTCCTGTTCCCATAGTTTTGCCTTTTTGAGAATGTTATATAAATGAATCATTAATAGGAATAATTACATATAAATACATAATATTTTGAGTTTGGCTTCTTTCACTTAACATTATGCATTTAAGATTCATTCCATAACAATACCATGGTGATTTAAAAAAAAAAAAAAAAAAAGGCCAGGTGCGGTGGCTCAAGCCTGTAATCCCAGCACTTTGGGAGGCCGAGGCGGGCGGATCACGAGGTCGGGAGATGGAGACCATCCTGGCTAACAAAGTGAAACCCCGTCTCTACTAAAATTACAAAAAAATTAGCCGGGCGTGGTGACGCATACCTGTAATCCCAGGAGGCTGAGGCAGGAGAATCGCTTGAACCCAGGAAGCAGAGGTTGCAGTGAACAGAGATCACGCCACTGCACTCCAGCCTGGGCGACAGAGCAAGACTCTGTCAGGAAGGAAGGAAGGAAGGAAGGAAGGAAGGAAGGAAGGAAGGAAGGAAGGAAGGAAGGAAGGAAGGAAGGAAGGAAGGAAGGAGGGAAGGGAGGGAGGGAGGGAGGGAGGGAGGGAGGGGAAAAGAAAGAGAAAAAAAAGATTTGTGCACGTTGTATCAGCAGTTCATTCATTTTTATTGCAGAATAGTATTCCAATTGGAGGTATCAGAGTTTCTTTATCCATTATCTAGTCATGAGATATTTGGTTTGTTTAGTGGTTATGAATAAAGCTTCCGTAAAATTTGGAATACACGTATTTTAAGTGTACAGTTTAATGAATTTTGATAAATGTATACATCCACTTAACCTCCAGCCTAATTAGGATATGGAAACCATGTGTGTTCCCTCCTGTATTTTTCTAGTCATTCTTTCTTAACCTTTATTCAGATACAGTTTAATGAGTTTTGATAAACGTATACATCCACTTAACCTCCAGCCTAATTAAGATATGGAAACCCTGTGTGTTCCCTTCTGCCTTTTTCTAGTCAATCTTTCTTGACTTTTATTCTGATTTCCATAACCACAGCTTTTTCCTTCCTGTCCTAACCAAGTTCATGTAAAAGGAATTATGCAGTATAGAAGGAAGTGACATTCCTTTTATCCCAAGAGGAATAAGTGATTGAAGACGTTTAAGAAGGAAATAGGCACAATCTGATTTATGTTTGTAATGATCTTTTTGGCTGCTGTGCGAAGAATAGTGAGTATGCCACATAAGTATTATTTTTCTTCCCATCTTCCAGGGGGAATACGGCTCAATAAAATTCCCAGGTCGACCCGAATTTCCATACTGGACCCATTCAGGGAACCTGGAACTATTTCTGCCATTCCCGATTCTTCCCAGCAGATGGCCCCAAAGTCCAGTTACTGAACTGCCTCACGGAGCCGCGGGCTCCAATGTGAGGCGGCCGCTGCCCGTCAACTCCAGCATGAGAGTGGCAGCTGGAGTTGGGGAGCTGCGAGAATCCTCTAGGGGTGCAGGGCGACGGCTTCGGCCGCACCGCGGGCTGGCCAGGGCTGCGTGCCCGTCTCTGACTCTCAGCAGAGGTGTCTGTGGCCAGGAGGAGCTGAAGTTCGGCAGGACATTGGTCCGCCCGGGGACAGTCCACTCCGCGGGGACTTTCTCTGGATAAGGAGTGCGTGCGAGTGGGTCCCAGGCAGACAGGGTGTCTAGAAGGCTACTCGCGAGGGAAGGTGGCTCCTTGGATTTAAAGACGAGGAAAGGAGGGGGAATCTAAACTAGGCTTTGGAGAGAACTAATGGGAGGGGCGCGGGGTGGGTGCGGGCTGGAAAACAGAGGGGACAGCCAGGACTGGTGTTGGGTGTCAGGGAACAGACGGAGCGGACTGCGTGGGTCCAGCCAAGGAAAATGAAGCAAGCAGGCTTGTTTGGGTCGAGGTTGCCTAGGGAAGCGGAGAACTCAAGTGCCTCTTTTCCCCCTTCTCCAGCCTCCTCTACAGTGGTGAGGTCACAGCCCCTTGGAGCCCTCCCTCTTTCCACCTCCCGCTGCCGGGTCTCCTTTGGCCTGGGGTAACCCAAGGTGCAGAGAGCTGAGAATGAGGCGATTTCGGAGGGTGGAGAAATAGCCCCGGGTCCCGTGGAAAATGAGGCCGGCCGACTTGCTGCAGCTGGTGCTGCTGCTCGTCCTGCCCAGGGACCTGGGCGGAAAGGGGTGTTCGTCTCCACCCTGCGAGTGTCAACAGGAGGAGGACTTCAGAGTCACCTGCAAGGATATTCAACGCATCCCCAGCTTACCGCCCAGTACGCAGACTCTGTGAGTACCCGGGAGAGATCAGGGGCGGACCCAGAGACCAAGGGCACCTGCGAAGGTGGCCCGAAGTGCACAAAAGCAGCTCAAGAACAGCCCGAAGTTGTGTGTGTGTGTGTGTGTGTGTGTGTGTAGATGTGTGTGTGCGCTAAAAACTTAATCGCCCACACTTGGGAAGGTATCATTGTTGACATCCTCATTCCTAACACAGGAAAAGGTTACAAAACTTTGATGTACAATGACAGTGAGAGCTGTTCTTTCCAACATGCTGCTATTGGGTACTTTGCCTAACCCTGGTTGAATCTGTCTCATTTGAATTAATAAGGATAATGGCATTTCAGGAACTGACCTTTTTGATCTTATCTTAGGTAATAAAAATTGCAAAAATATGTATTTCTCCTTTTTGTTTCTCTAGATGGGAGATTATCTTAGCAGTTCTGCTGATTCATTAAATTGTTGAAAAAAGTTTAATCAGGGGCCCTTTTTAAAATGAACTGTCTATACAGTATCTATAAGTTACTTACTCAAATGTGAACTGCCAGTGAACTAGTGCGTCCAGAACCCTGCTTTGTGATGGGCATGATACAGGTATAAAGAAATGAAATTTCATAAAAGTATAGTGCATTTATCTGCATGTTAAATGTTACCAAATTAGAAATCTGATGTTAAATAAGATTATGCACACACAACCTGTTTCTTAACAGCAATTTAAATCAGTAATCATTGAAACTGTAGACAAATCCAAGGGAATAAAGTCTCTCTTGATTGGTTATAAATAGAACAGAAAGCAAGCATAGTAAAACAACCTAGGCTGGTTAAATCCAGTTAAGGTAAGGAAGTGCAGGTTATTAAAGAAAATGTTGATAGATGAAAAGAAATGAGAAAGCTGCACCTCTAGGTTTTCTCAAGAATTTAGCTCATGAAGACTATTTAACAGTAGATGAATATTTTAGCACAGAGATGTATTTCTGTGCTCTGAGATATCATAGTTTCTCAGCTCACCTGAATTAATTAGTTCAATAACCTCCAAACAGTGTGGTAGTCATTCTCCATGCTGCCATCACAGAATAAAATGTGTAAAAGGTTTAATAGCCTCTTGACTACACCTGTACACGGGTTGCTTGTCACCTCTAGAATAAAACTCTTTTGTGCAGCCTACCAGATCTTTCCAGACCTAGTCAAGTCTTTCCAATCTCATTGCTCCTAATTTCTCTAACTTCCCCCTCCTGCTGAGAGGAACTTCTGGCGCTGCCCCAAAGGTCCCTGCTGTTACAGCTGCCCTTGCCTTTCTTCCTACATTCTGTCCCCTCTGCCTAAAGTACATTTTCCCCATTTCTTCACCTGGCAAATGCCTACTCCCAGATCCAGATTCTGGATCAACCCTGCAGGAAGCTTCTCCTGACCCATGACCTTTAGGCTGCGTGAGCTATACCCACTTCCCAAAAGCGTTCTGTGCACGAACCTAACCCTAGTCCTTAGACATTGTCTGCTTTCTTGTAACTTGTTATTTATTTGCATGCCCACCCAAGCAGGACACAAGCTTCTCTAACATAGGGACACTGTCATTCAACCCTGAATTCCTGAAACCCTGGAACTACTCAGACACACACACAAAAAAAGCTTATGTGAATAAATGAACAAATGAATATGCCAGGTCTCTGAATGTCCACTGTGTGTTGGAGAGAAAGAAATCCAAAGACATCACTTCTTCAGAGACTTCTTTAACAGTGGCAGAAATTCATTGAAGAGAGATGTGGCTCTGACAGTGAAAAGGAACTAGTAGACATCCTGTTTAAAATTCCACCAAAAGTTGAGAAAGAACGGGTAATAGAGAATGAGCAATGGAACAGGAGTCAGGAAACCAGCATTCTCTTCAGTCCTTCTTTCCTAACCGTGAAATTGTGTAAGATGACTGATTTGGAAGCAGTCAGATTTCCTTCTGAGTAACAGAGAAGGTTCAACTAGGTGCTTTCTAGGTGACGACATGTTGCTGATGAAAATAGTCTGAGGGAAGGCACTGAATCACAAGAAGTAATTGGATAAAGACAGTGGCAAGGAGGATCTGACCTTGAGAATAATGGAGAGGGAGGTAGTATGTTCTGAAGAATAAAGTAATTCTGAGATGGAAAAGAGAAACTTGATGAAAAGTATGGGTAAAACAATATGGTAGTCTCCTTTGAACAATGGCTACAACCATCTGCAACAGTAGAAAAATGATTTTTAAATCTTTTGGGTGTGGTAGAACTCTTCTGTTGAAGAAAAGCATATAAGAGAAGTAAAACGTGTAAAGCTAGCAATTATATTGTGTCTACTTATGGGGGGGGGCGGGTCCTGTTCTCAGCACTTTGCATGAAGTCACCCAATGAATCCTCACCAAATCCAATTAAGTAGGTGATGCTATTATCCTCATTTTATAAATGAGGACATTGAGACACAAAAATAAAATGAAGTAATTTGCTCAATGTTGCACAGCTTGTAAGTGGTAAAGTCAGGATTTAAAATATCATATCATCAACTATGGAGCCTGCACCCTTAAGCCACCACTCTCAGATGAAAAGTGTGTCTCACCATACCAGTTTTCCCTTGATGGTCATAGGCTTTGGAGAAAAAAGTCTGAAAACAAGTCACATTCAATAAACCCACTGATAACCTCAGGGGCTATTCATCAGATAAAAGAACTCAGAAAGCAGGAAGTTAGCAGGGAAAGGAAAGAAGAAGGGAAGGAAGAAAGAGAGAGTGGAAGAGAGGGAAGGAGGACAAGAAAGACTAATTAGTCTTTCTAGACAAGAAAGATCTAGATCTTTGTCTAGATCTTTGTCTAGATCTTTCTAGACAAGAAAGAGCTAGATCTTTGTCTAGATCTTTGTCTAGATCTTTCTAGACAAGAAAGATTTAAGTTATAGAAGGTATTCCCGGCTGAAATAAACTAAGTTTTTGTCATTAAAAAGCCATTCTGGATGGTGACCTCTTTTTGGAATCTACTTAAATTATACAGAATCTACCACTGAGACATGTTCTCTCACAAGTTTTATATTATTCAGAGTGTACCTCTTTTTAAAGTTTTTGAAGAGCTTACACTGGTTTAAAATGTAAGGTATTTTGTTCTTATAGAGTTATTTGCATTACTTCTGCAACCTTCATCAAGATGCTGTATAACCACTTCTTAGACGTTTTACAAATTATCATGGTGCTGAGAACAACTCTTTCTAAACCTTATCTTCTACTCATAGATTATTGTTCCGAAAAGTGAACAGCTCTCTTGCCCTACTATCCATATTCCAGCCCCGTGCTCTGATGGATGGAGGGGAGACAGTTACGGACTGTGGCCCTCACTGAAGAAGTGATGCTGTATCTTTTCCTCACTCCTCCCCTCCAGAAGGGTATGATGCTTTACCTGAGCGGAAGGTGAGGGAGAGCTGGAATGCCTACTTCCCTCATGCCAGTGGAACATTCTAGAATCTTTGATGTGTAGGTAGTTCGAAAAAAATAACTCTCTTCAATTGAAAATTACTGATTTAAGGACACTTAAATGAAGCAAGAGAATAAAAGTAAAAATATAAATGTTGGCATATAATTATAGATCATATTATGTCAAAAGCAAGGATAACAAGATTGACCCATCACCCTCTCTTACTCAGAAAGTTGCCATTTGTTGCCCCTGTGCATGAGAAGATCCTTCCTTCTCTGAATAAGGAGGTAGAAAGGATTTGACAATCATTCTGGACCATTCTATGTATTTGTGTGGATTCTTCCTCAAGAAAGTGCTGACATGCCTTACTATGTTCTTTTAACCTACTTGCTTTCAGTTTCATTATAACAGTAATTGCCACATCTGCCTTCTCCAACCCCACTGCCATCTGTGGTCTTGGGTTTATCCGTTTGTGTGCCTTCAGATATGTTTCTGAAGGAGCTGTTGTTTTCAGGTTCTGTTTTTACTCATTTGCATTCTGCATCTGTGGCTCTAATTGATGGACTCTCCCAGTGTTTACTAAACTGAAGACAATCATTCATCATCTTTGGCATTTGTACCCTGTGTTCCATCTGTGCTGTTATTTACTCAGTATTTTTAAGTTGACTCACTTCTCTAACTGAAATTTATTTAGAAAGGTTACAAGTGGAAAATTAGCATGACTTGGTACAAATAAAAGGTAACCAGAAAACTAAAGACAGCAAAAACAAAAATATAATTAAATTCTAGCTACAGACTATTGTCTGTGAATACACTGAGCTTACAGCTGCCTTGTCTTTGTTAACAAGGAAGCGAAATAAGTGTTAGTAAGTATTAAAGAGATAACAATCTGGCATGGTGTCCTTGGTAGTATCAAAAGGATGGAAAGACAATAAAAAAAGGAATTCCTCTCTCACTGTGTGCTTCACTGTTATTTAATGCCAGGTGGGCACTCCACCTAAAATAATCTCATGTATCTCCAAGTCATCTTTGTTCCACACTTAAGGAAATGTGGATGTTTTGTATATTTCACAATGGTTTTAGTCACAATCAGTGGTTGTAATCTGAATAACAATTGTTTCCAACCTAAAGAGAAGCCCTCTGCTTCCACACTCACATGCTCCCCAAACACAGCCCCACACATATAAGGTGACTTCAGTTCATATATCCAGGCTCTGTGAATTATTCTCTTCCATTCTCTCTCTCCTCTCCCATACATATGAAACAGTGTTCTAAGAGGAGTGAAGAATTCTGACCTGAATGTTAAAGGGGTTTGATTTATTCACTTGAGATGAACATAACAATAGACAATAAAATTTGTCCATCATATATATATATGAGAGAGAATATATATAGAGAAGGAATATATCTATATACCTATATGTGTATATATAGACAGATATATGTATTCAGATATATATATATATATATATATATTTTTTTTTTTTTTTTAATCAGCCAAGGTTTCTGATGATAAGTAATAGAAAACCCATTCTGTTTAGGTTAAGGAAGAAAAAAAAATTTTTTTGAAAGAACAACATGTGATTTACAGAATTAC